TTTGTGAAAACCCTTTGAAAAACCATGCAACCCTTAAGACGTGGTGTTCATCTTAAGTGAAATTACAATTATTAACCACAAGAAGCCAGCGTCAATTTCAGGGAACCTTCAGACCAAAATTGCATCCAATTACTTTTCTAAAGATCATAATGGTGATCAAGCATTAGGACAATTAGATAATTTAAAACAGTGATTAACAATTCAAAGTATGCATGCAATCAATCATAAGCAATTAAATAAAAATCACATATTCATGCTAAGGTTCAAGGCTTCACCCTAGGAAAGAGAGTTAGTTACGCATAATCATAACTAAAACCCAAGAAAATATCATTCCCATAAATAAGAATAAAAACACGTTGAAGTAGAAGTTCTTCAAAAACCCTAGCAAAAGTCGCGTTCCAAAAGCCAAAAGAGAGATGTCCTAAAATTATGTGAAACATAACTTATATACCTCCTAAAACCCAGCTGCCCAATGTCCACAAGGAAACTAGGTTAAAATAAAATAATACTAGGAAATAAAGTCCAAATTGGACTAGGAGAATCTGCCAACAATCTGCCCAGCCACGTTTTAGGCTCAAATCTCCTCCAAATCAGGCCCAAGATAGCTCGTTTTAAAGATAAAAACATTCTGAACATATCTTAAGAAGGCCACGAACCCATCTGAGGTCATCTTGGGCTCCAAAACGCAATAAAGGCCCAAACCGTCAGTATTCCAGTACCGCGCATTGCTCCTTTATTTTATTGCCAGAGAATAACCGCTTGGTAGAAAAATTTGAAATTTTGATACGATCAAGCTAAGTGACTCACAAACGTCCTCCAACTGGAATTACTCCAAAATTCGTCCATTTGATTATGTTTTGCTCCGGAGGAAGTCGAAAACCCTATATTGGAAATATAATTCAAAGTATCAAAATTGTTCCAAAATATTAACCAAAATATATTAATAATAGGGTTAAATATATAATATAAAATATGCCCATCAATGATGCACTGTAATATTAAATAACATATGGTGTTGAATATCGTAGTATATGCTAAGTGTTTGAATTTGAATTTCTAAACAAATATCAATCCAGATTTCATAGATTTTGGAGATTTCCCAGAGAGATTTCAAGCCTTATTTAGGCCGCTCAGATTCTAGATTACATTGTAGATCATTTTGCAATCATTTCCCCCACGTTAGTAAGATTTCCAGTTGATGTATCATTTCCCAAATATAAGTTAGGAAAAAAAAACGTTAAATATATGTTGACTGGGGACCCAGGTCTTGGTCTTCTTTCTACTTATTTAATATCCATTTTTACAAAGTAGATTAAATATTGTTGAATATTAAGTAAGTAGAAAGAAGACCAAGACCTGGGTCTGCAGTCAACATATATTTAACAGTTTTTTTTTCCTAACTTATATTGTTCTGTTTTTTCTACATTCGCACTTGACCATTATGTGCTCTTTGATTGATATATATATACGAGTCAATAACAATGTGACACAGTATCAGTTGCTTAAATTAGACTGGACCACATTATCTTTAGACTCATTTTCAATCAGTGATGAAAGAGTGAACGCATTTTCTATTTTGTCATCCAATTTTTGAAAAGAATTTAGGTGAAAAATTAATAAAATATAAGTAGTATTTAATAAAACAGTCCCGCTCACTTAAGGATTTAAAAATAAGGTCATGTGAGGTCCTATTTAATAAAGGCCATTGGATTAAGGGCGAGTTTTGAATTGATGTCATTTTTATATAAAAAAAATTATTTCTACTGTGGTTTGAAAATAATTGGCTATAAAATAAAACAGCTCTATATTTGATAAACAATATTTTAAGTGTTGTTAGTACAAAAAATAGTGTTCAAATCGTTTGATAAATTTTAATATAAAACTGTTGTAATCTATATCTATCTATATAAAGCAAAAGGCAGAGAATGGTGAAACATTCAAAATACCAAAAAATGTCTTTGGTTAATGCAAACATTAAGAATTGAAATTATTAATTAAATGAGGATGTTGAGGCCCAAAAAATTCAAGGCTAGGCCCAAATATAATCTCGGCCCAATGCTATACCTTATCGAGAAGAAATCCGATTTGGGCACGCGAAAGTTCGTCATATGCGCTTGCACACATGCCACGCCACGCTACAAGCTTAAGTGGGCCCAAGCCACGCGAATGCCTAGGGCTTGCTGAGCGGGTTGTGGTATGGATGGTTACGAGTATTCATGAGGCCCATTGATGGTCCAAGGAGTGGAAGTTTTGGGCTACTTGAGAGCACCAAAACTCAAGCTCATTCCTTGAGCCCAAACATATGGGTAAGCATGAGAGAGAAAACCTAATAGCCCATCACCTTAAGAAAAAGCCCACAACACTTGAAGAAATCCCACATCAGCTAAAACTTCCAGCTGCTTGAGCAAACTCACAAGCTGCTGGAAACAAAACAGCCCGACGTCTTATATCCAACATCATGGAAATATCCAGCATCTTTCTTAAAACCAGATCGAAGCCAAACCACCAAAACCAAGTGCTAATGGAATCACCTTTTGACCAGCACCCTTACCCATTCTTTCCTCTTCAAGCTTTGGTGAGAAAACAA